AACTGCCAGCAGGTGAAGTATGAGCACCAGCGCCCGGGTGGGTTGCTCCAGCAGATAGAGATTCCAGAGTGGAAATGGGAGCGCATCACCATGGATTTTGTATCTGGACTTCCACGGACCTTGAAGAAGTTTGATTCCATTTGGGTTATTGTGGACCGGCTGACCAAGTCCGCTCATTTCATTCCTGTGTGTACCACTTATTCATCGGAGCGATTGGCGGATATTTATATCAGGGAGATCGTCCGTCTGCATGGTATTCCAGTTTCTATCATTTCGGACAGAGGTACTCAGTTTACATCGCGGTTCTGGAGAGCTGTGCATCAGGAGTTAGGCACTCGGGTGGAGTTGAGCACAGCATTTCACCCCCAGACGGACGGACAGTCCGAGCGCACTATTCAGATTCTTGAGGACATGCTCCGTGCGTGCGTGATTGAGTTTGGAGGGTCTTGGGATCATTTCCTGCCATTGGCGGAGTTTGCTTATAACAACAGTTATCAGTCCAGCATTCGGATGGCGCCGTATGAGGCTTTATATGGCAGGAGGTGTAGATCTCCGGTGGGTTGGTTCGAGCCGGGTGAGGCCAGGCTATTGGGTACAGAGATGGTTCAGGATGCATTGGAGAAGGTCAAGGTGATTCAGGACAGACTCCGTACAGCCCAGTCTAGACAGAAGAGTTACGCGGACAGGAAGGTTCGTGATGTTTCATATATGGTTGGTGAGCGGGTTCTGCTTCGGGTCTCGCCTATGAAGGGCGTCATGAGGTTTGGAAAGAAAGGCAAGCTGAGTCCGAGGTTTATTGGCCCTTTTGAGATCTTGAGGCGAGTTGGGGAGGTTGCTTATGAGCTTGCCTTACCTCCCAGCTTGGCCGGAGTTCATCCGGTATTTCATGTTTCGATGCTCCGGAGGTATCACGGTGATCCGTCGCACGTGTTGGATTTCAGTTCAGTCCAGTTGGACAAGGATCTATCCTATGTTGAGGAGCCAGTGGCTATTTTGGACAGGCAGATCAGAAAGTTGAGGTCAAAGAACATAGCTTCAGTAAAGATTCAGTGGCGGGGTCAGCCGGCCGAGGAGGCGACTTGGGAGACCGAGCAGGATATGCGCAGCCAGTACCCTCATCTTTTCACTACTTCAGGTATGTTCTCTATGCTCGTTCGAGGACGAACGAATGTTTAAGTGTAGGAGGATGTAACGACCCGGCCGGCCGTTTTTGGAAATTACGCCCTGATCCCCCATCAACTGCTTCCCCTAAGTTCATTTCTGCTATTTTGGTTTGCCGGGACGTTTGGTGTTGAGTTTTGGAAAGTTTTGGGACACTTAGTCCCTAAATGAGAGCTTAAGCATTGAAAAGTGGTCCGTAGTCGGAACAGTATGAAGACGACCTCGAAATGGAAATCCGATAGTTCCGTTAGCTCCGTTAGGTGATTTCGGGGTTGGAAGCGTGTTCGGAATGTATTTTGGGAGCTCGTAGCTCATTTAGGCTTGAAGTGCCGAAGTTTAATTTTGAAGTTTCCGGTTCGATAGTGAGTTTTTGATCCGAGGGTCGGATTAGAATTTCGAAAGTCGCAGTAGCTCCGTCATGTCATTTGGGATGTGCGTGCAAAATTTTAGATCATTCGGACGTGTTTTGGTTAGGTTTTTGATCGAAAGCGTATTTGGAAGAAACTTGTAGTTCTTAGGCTTAAATCTTTGATTTAATCGAGTTTCCGGTGTTGTTTTAGGTGTTTAAAGGATTGGTACAGGTTTGAATAAGGTATTAGGTGGTATTGGTGCTTTTGGTTGAGGTCCCGGGGGCCTCGGGATGATTCCGGGTGGTTAACGGAGAAATTTCTAAGTAATTGCTGCAGCTGGTATTTTTCTTTCTGGTATTTTCGCTTCTGCGGCTTGGGAACCGCAGAAGCGGAGCCGCAGAAGCGGCCTTGGACGTCGCAGAAGCGGCTTGTGCCCCTTCCTCAGGAGCCGCAGAAGCGGTGCCACTTCCGCAGAAGCAAAGCCGCAGAAGCGGCCCAGCTACCGCAGACGCGGTCCTGCCCCTTTTAATGAAAACTGCAGAAGCGGTTGGCTTTCCGCTTAAGCGGGACCGCAGAAGCGGCCCAGCTACCGCAGACGCGGTCCTGCCCCTTTTAATGAAAACCGCAGAAGCGGTTGGCTTTCCCCTTAAGCGGGACCGCAGAAGCGGTCCCTTGTCCGCAGAAGCGTTGACTGTCAGAAATATCAATTTCGAGGGTTTAATTTCATAAGTTTGAAAATCGATTGAGAGCTCGGGAGAAGGCGATTTTGAGTGGATTTTGAAGAGAAAATCATTGGGTAACATTTTCTTGATCCCTTTTCATTATATTTCATCATTATATAGCTAAATACCCCATTGGAATTCGAATTTTGGACCAAAAATTGGATAAATTGGGGTAAAACTTTATTGGCTAGACTATTGAGTTTTGAGTGGGCATTTAACCTCCGATTTGGGAGATTTTTATATCGTTAGACTCGTGAGAGTACGAGGGTTCTAAAGATGTGAAAATAATTCAATTCCGAGACGTTGGCTTGAGGGGCGTTTTGGTCATTTTATTTATTTTCGCGCCCTAGCTTTAATTTTAATAGTGGAATAAGTTGTTTGCAATATTATTTATGATATGTAATTGAATTGAATAGATTTGGGCCATTTGGAGTCGGATACTCGTGGCAAAGGCGTGGTTTTTATTGATATTGAGCCGGTTCGAGGTAAGTGGCTTGTCTAACCTTGTGTGGGGGGACCTTTCCCCTTAGGATTTGTTATTTGTTGATTTGAGTGCCTTGTACGCGAGGTGACGGGCGCGTACTTGAGCCAATTGTTGAAAGTCCGATTTCCTTAAGATATTGAGATTGAGTTCCTTTCATATTTGCTTTATTCTACTTGCAATTATAACCTGTGCTAGATTAGGAAAACATGTTTAGTTGATTTAACTTGCCTAATTGCGTAAGTTGCCTTGACTGTACTACGTGGAGCATGCTAGGCCAGTACTACCTATTGCTTGTCTTTTGTACTTCGTTTCCGTGTACCTTCTGGTTGTGATTGCGCATTTACATTAGGACTACGGATGTGGGATTCCGGTAGCTCCCCCCCCCCCCCCCCCCTTCGTTTGTTTACTTTGGGACTGCGGGTTCGATTCCCGATAGATCCCCCTGCACTTTTACTTTGGGACTGCGGGTTAGATTCCGGATAGATCCCCCTGCACTTTTACTTTAGGACTGCGGGTTAGATTCCCGATAGATCCTCCTGCACATTGGTAGTTGGACTACGGAACAGTATCCCGGGAGATCCTTCGGATGTACATATATAATGGACTACGGGACGGTATCCCGGGAGATCCACTAGACAGTTGAGAAAAAAGGGCTACAGGACGGTATCCAGGGAGACCCTCATTGTTATCATTGGTATTGAGCTGTGTTTACTCTGTGTTTATTCTGTACTCGTGTAGTTGTTGTAGCCTCGTTGACTTGTCTTATCTCACTGCTGTACTTATTATATCTGTTAGATTTTTATATTGTTAAAGTGTTATTATTATATTTTGTCTCAGTAGGGCCCTGACCTTCCTCGTCACTACCCAACCGAGGTTAGGCTTGGCACTTACTGAGTACCGCTGTGGTGTACTCATGCCCTTCCTGTGCATGTTTTTCATGTGCAGATCATCCAGGTACCTCCACTCAGGCGCACTATCAGTGGGCAGGAGGACTACGAAGACTTCGAGGTAGATCTGCTGCGTCCGCAGACCGACGAGTCTCCCTCTTACTCTATCTTTAGTACTTAGTTTTCCTTCTTTCGGTGGTTAGAAATTCTGGAGTTTGGAACCTTTACTATACACTTCTGTAGCCTGTGTTGCCGGTGAGTTTCCGGGTTTTGGGAATTGTTTTAACGTGATATTGAGTTATACTTGCCAAGCGGCATTCAGTACAGTTTCCTTTAGATATTTGATTTGATTTTTCTCTATTTTTCCGCAATTATTATATTTCCGCAAATGTTAGGCTTACCTGGTCATGGGGACCAGGTGCCGTCATGACATGTTCACTGTTGGTGAACTAGGGTCGTGACAGGCTATCTGTGTAAAGATCCCTTATTTAATTGATCTATATTCTAGGAAAACTACCAGCTATGTCCATTTATAAGTAGCTCATTACAAAATTGGACAATTCATAAATATTACTCATATTAGCCAATTAGCTATTTGTAGCAAAAAAATGTCAAATTTTTGCCTTCTTTTGTGGTGTTATTAGAATAGATTGAGACATCTTAAGGAGCTTGAATCTCAGTTTTGGGATGATTTGGTAAGTTTTGAGATGGTTTGAATTGAAAATTCAAAGTAAAACTGAACATGAAAAAAATGATATGTGTATCATTTGTGTATCACATATGTATCATATTTGTATCGATTGTGTATCACACGTATATCCATGTGTACCTGTGTGTGAAATACATGCGTGATACATGTTTGATACATGTGTCGCAGAAAAAATTTTTGAATTCGATTTAATTATAAATTTTGATACAAAACTAATCCAAATCACCTCCAATCTTCCTCAAAATTTGCATATTGACTTATCTATATATTTTCAATGAATTTCAACTATACCCATTGAAAATATTCCTTTTTTACTTAAATTTTTTGAATATTATATTTTTTTGTTTATATTTCATCACCTTATTTGCTACCTCATCCATGAAATTTCCTTTTCGTATTGCATCTAATATTTCTAATCACGCTTAAAAATATGAAAGGTGATTTTTACATGTGATTCTTTGAGAGAAAGAACCTTATTTATTTTGTTTTTCAATTTTATATGTGCTTGCTTAGTTTTGGTAAGTTTATGACTACTGGCCAGAGGTGGGTAAGTTGAGACTTATTTGAGACATTTATGTAAGTTTCCCTATATTCTATCCAAAGCATGACAAGAAATACTTAACTTTGCCTCTACATACAAATTTAAGGAATACCAGCCGTCTAGTCATTTGCTACATATTATTTTCCAACAACTTGCATATCTACCTCATCCCAAGGAGAAAGAAAAAGAGGAAGAAAAATCTAACTGGAGAAAAAATCCAATCAAAAAATAGAAAATGAACCCTCCGATCAACAAAATCCGGTCGCCTCAAGTGGATCATCATCGCCCTCTAGTAAAGCACCTTATTGTTTTGACTGTTCAAGAAAAACCAGAACGAAAATGGTTAAACACGATGCTCTTCACAACAGAAATGCAGAATACTGTACGTAAAAGTATTCGGCAAATTGTAGGCAGCCATCGGAAATCATTTCAGAGGCTGCCTTCCAAATTTGTAATCTTCCGAATGGAACTGATATGTAAAGGGCGTTACTGTGAGTATACTATCATAGTATTGCACAAGATCAGCACAACAAAATATATTGCAGTAGTCTATTGTTTTGGCTTCTACCAATTACTGAAAGGCAGATAACAAGAGAGCTGTAAAAACTGAACTAAGTACACATTGCTGTGGCCGTCGCAACAAATTTTATTCAGGATAATAGATAAACTGTCCCATCATTGCTTAGTTTAATATATCATCTTTTAATCTCCAACTTAACGTGATATGAGGGTATAATTCAATTGGAAAATATACTTGCGGGGCAAGATGTTGTATATGAAAACGTTCAGCAAAAGAAACTGATCACAGTTGGAAGGAAGCAACAAACAATGCATACACTCAAAGTACGAATGAAGTTAATTGATGAACAATTTATATGACATGATCCTAAGTTGCAGAAATGAAAATTGTGAATATTCAAGCCACAAACCACCAGAATAAGTGAAATCATATTTTATTCAAGATTCTGACCAGATATATGGGAGCATTATGCCAAGACAACCCTACTTTTGGGAAGGGTTATCTCAATTATCATTAAGTTTTTATTTATTGCCACAAGTAATATATGTAGAATAAAAATTCTTAACTCAGATAGCATATCTCAGTAACATGTTACACTTATTTTTCATTAACATCAAGTTACACGAGAGGGAAGCAGAACAATGTAGGCCACACGCGTAAAAGGAATTATTGGTTTAGCAAAAGTTTCAATTAATGACTAAACAGAGAGCGGTGAAGAAAACTCACTTGTGAATAAATGAAGGTTCCCAGGATCGCGATGGCGGCTCCAAGTGCGTTGATGGGCCGAACGGGTGTTTGGAAGATTATGATGGAGGAAACTATGACAGATATCCGCTTCATTGTATTTCCTATGCTAAACGTCAGGGGAGAAATCTCATCCAAGGACATATATGACACCTGGTTATACAAGTGATAGAATATGCTCTGCGCGGCCACCCACCTAATATCATGTATCAAATCCAAATACAAAAAAAAAAGTGTTATTAGGCTACTCATCAAAATGATTAGACAATTCCATCACAAGTAGACAATTCCATCAGCAATCACATTACAACTGCTATCAACAAACAACAACAACCACCCCAATATAATTCCTCCACTACTGGGGTTTGGGGAGGGTAGTGTGTACACAGACCTTACCCCTACCCTTACCCCTACCAGGGGTGGATCAAGGGAAGGCTAGTAAAGCTTTTGCTTTAGGCCCGCTAAATGTTGGGGCACCAAAAATATTTTTAGTTGTGAATTTACTATCTTATTTTCGTTTAGACAATATTGAAGTTTATAGAAAAAGAAAACAAAAATACTAAATCCTTATAAATAAAGATTATCTATTTTTTAACAATAGAAATATTTAGAACTTTGAATTAAGATACTCAAATCTTCATATTGATAAATAACATTATTTTACAATAAGATCCAACGTAACCAATTGAAAATACGTGGCTAACATCTTATTAACTTAAATTTTCTTACCAATATCAATATTAATATTATATTTTATAAGATAACTACACTATAGACAAAAAGAAAGAAAGAAAAAAAAGGAACCAATGTAATATTACATACTATATTTTACAAGATAACTATACTATAGACAAAAAAAAAAATCAAGGCACTTAATTAAAGTTTGGCTTTAGGCCACAAGTTTTATTGAGACGCCTTTGACCCCTACCCTGGAAGGTAGATGGGCTGTTTCCGATAGACCCCCGGCTCAAGAAGAAGAAGAAAAGAGACAATAGATCAGTAACATCAACAGAGGCCAGAAAGATAATACCACATTATAACTAATATCAAATAGTTTATTGAATGACTCAGATGTATGCAAGAAAGAGCTAGAAACTAAGGCGCTATCATTAATAGCGTTGATGCCGACGGAAGCCAAGACAAAATGGGATTAATATCCACATTCATGATTTAAATCAACGATTAACATTCTTAAATCGTCAAAGAAACCATGATTCAATTAACTTTAACGAAGATGGAAACAACTTCCAACTGATACAACCACGATACATAATCAGAGATAGATGTATAATATCATACAACTATCCATCAACATAGCATAAGTTAAGAACTAGAAATATTGGGAGCACACATCATGAGAGCAGAAGTTATTAGTCCTTACCAAACAAAATTGGGTCCAATTTGAGAGAGGGCGTTTTCCCATCCTACCGCCCACATCTGGGGGCCCTCCATTGCAATTGCAAAAGGTGTAAGAATTAACAGAGACATAATGGACAAACACGCATAATAGTTCATCCCGCTAACAGACTTCCCCTTCATTCCTTTCTTTGAGAATATATTCCGGAACACAAATGCAAGATTTGATATCATCGCCCCCATAAAACCTGTATCAACGATCAAGTAAATTTCAGAAACTAACCATAATATATCCACATACCAGAGTTAATAATCGAAAGATTGTTGAAGTAAGTGCTTGACTAAAACAATATAATAGCAATTCCTCTTACCAGTCATGTTGAAATTGAGCTCAGTAGCAGCTGAAAGTGCGCAACCACCAATGATTGGCACAAGCGACAAATAAACCGGAAGCGGGAAAGTCTCACCAAGCAAAAACCTCGAAACCAATACGCTAAAAGCCGGTTCACCACTCTTGATGATATGAGTAAAAGACACTGCAACTTTAGACATACTAACAGTTGCTGCTACATGCCCAATGGTATGAGCAACTGCAACCTACAAAAATAGCAGTAACAAAAACTTAAAAAAATATTATTTGAAACATGACACACTAAATAAATAAATCATGTATTCTCTCCATTCAATGAGAGTATTCAAAGTAACCCATGTTCGAAGTTAATCTATCAATCTTATTGAGACAAAATTACATTTTCACAAACTCTTTTTTTGGTATTCCGCATCCAAAGAAGGGAAGCCTAGGAGCAACGATAAAGTTGTCTCCATGTGACCTATAGGTCAGGGTTCGACCCGTAGAATCAGCCATTGATACGGTAAGCTACCCACATCACACCTCTTGCGGTGCGGCCCTTCCCCGGACCTTGCATGAAGGTGGGATGCTTCGTGCACCGGGCTGCCCTTCTTTTACATCCAATATCCAATCCAGCTCTGCGTCTAGGCCCACCAGAGGAGGAGTTTCTCCATTTCAGGCTCGAATCCGAGACCTCTGGTTAAGTACAGAGTAATCCAATCGATCCCACCAAATGTGGTGGAAATATATTCATAAACTACTAAAGTAGTACTATATAACAATACTTAAAAATCATAACTTTTACAGCTTTAAAAATTTTGAAAATAGTACCTTTCTTTTTTGGAACAGATGAAATAACACCTAAAAATCCTAAAACCCTCACTGCCCCAGCAAAAACCCTAAAAACACCAACCACATAAAAAAACCTAAACCTTAATCCTAACATTAAAAAATCAAAATTCTTACCGGAAACAGATTCTTCCAAAACTCAAGATCCGTTTTTGGGAATTCAGCAATTCTTGTAACCCATGAAATTAACATAATCAACGAGCCAGTAGCAAGGGATAGAGTAGAAGTCAACCAAGGAAAAGGATAAGCATTAAGAACTTTCTTATTATATATATTAAAAACAACATTCAAAGCCCACCATGTAGCAAAATATATACTGATTTTAACCCTCTGAGCAGCAGCCTCTGATGATTTTGGTAACTCAATGTTTTTATCCAACGGCTGTGATTTATCAGCTTCATATGCTTTGCAAATTGTTCCAATTCTTGAAAAAGAACCAAATTTTGTAACAGATGATATGTAAAGAGGTTTCTTGGTTGAAAAATCACAGTTTTGAATCTTTGTTTTTGGTAAAACTCCAAGATTTGAATTAAAATGAAAACCCCTTTTGGGAATAAAATCAGAAGGTGTGATTGATAAAGGTGATTGCTTTATAGAACAACCCATGACCAATTTTCTGCTAAACTGATAAAAATTGAGTCTTGAAATAATGAAATAAATTTGATACTAATGTTTAAATGGATTAAAAGGGTGTATGGAAAAAGTTAAGAAATTACTAGATTTTTGGTTTTGAAGAATCGGACAAAGAGTTTTTCGGTAGAATTGAGAAAGGTGTATATGTTAGGTGACAACAACTGAGAGGTGACAGTGAAAGAAGATTTGGTACGACGTTGATTCCTATAAGTACAACTGTGACATTGATTGCCTATATTGGAATAGGAAAATGAATACTAGTATTTATTTATTAGGATCTTGTTGGTATCTTTCTTAAAAATTTGGGAAAATTTTAAAAATAACCAGATTTACAACTGGTCATTCAAAAATAGCCAATTTCAAAGGTAATCGAAATTTAGTCACTTTTTATGTAAAGATAAATCTGAGCGAAAACACTGTTCAAAATCCGGAAAATACGCCAGTATATTATGCTGGAGTTCCAGCATAAGTATACTTGAACTCCAGCATATTATACTGGAGTTCCAGGATAGTATGCTGGAACTCCAGCATAATACGATGGAGTTCCAGCATAAATACACTAGAACTCCAGCATAATATACTGGAGTTCCAGCAAAGTACACCGGTCCAGCATAATATCTTGGAGTTCATACACAAGTGCACCGAACTCCAGTGTATTATGCTGGACCGGTCTCTATTGCAGCAAAACGGTGGCTATTTTTCATTGACTTGGTAAACGCTGGCTATTTTTGATTGACCAGTCCGAAAACTGGCTATACCGTGCTATTTTTACTAAAATTTTAGGATATCAAAACCTAAAAACGTAACAAGAGTCCGATTTTGACAAGATTCAAGCATGTTCTAGAATGAGCTCGTGTCAGGTTGAAGTGAGCCAGTTAAGACCAGCACCTCTAATTAGATCTAATAACGCCTAGGATATTTTTTGTTTAATGATGTTCGAAACTTATTGATTCGATTAATTTACTTGGTAGAAAATTTATTAGAGGTGCAGAGATCTCTTCTAAACAAGATTCTATTTTGAAGGTTCAAATTTGAAAATTTTGGTTGAAGTCTTGAAGATAGAGAAATTTTTATCATTCCATCACGCTCGAATAGGAGGACCAAATATGACTACACTTGCAATTTATATTGTGGCAAACAAATAGGTAGTAATTATATAGTTGAATATTCTTTATTTTAAATTTAAAAGTTAATTAACGCCGTAAGAGTTGGCTGAATTGGTTGGGTGAGTGATTTCCCACATGGGAGATCTGGGGCCGATTCCCCTCACCATGAACCTCCTTAGTCAGAGCTCGTCCCATTGGATTTGCCTAGTGCGATTTTACATCTCATATGCAGTTTGCGAGCTATTGCACAGTGAGCAAGTTATCCAGTGCGCACTCGAACGTTAGCAGCTGAGGGTTTCCCAATTTCCAGGAAAGTTAAAAGTTAATTGTAAAAAAATCATATGAAGATGCAAATAAGTTTTAATACAACAACAATAACGACCCAGTAAAATTTTACAAGTGGGGTCTGGGGGGTAGTGTGTAAGCAGACCTTACCTCTACCCCGGGGGGGGGGGGAGGGGTAGAGAGGTTGTTTCCGATAGACCCTCGACTCAAGAAGACGAAAAAGATAATATATCAGTACCATCAACAAAAATCATAGAAATAATAACAACATCACAAGAAACAGTAAATAGATGGAAAGCAAAAATAATAACTAGTAAATAAGGCCCGGCACTAAGGAAATGGAAGAGTAGTGTAAATACAATATTGACTACTAGCAATCTAAGACAAAATCCTATGAGACTATCCTCACACTGGTACGAGTTAGAAATATGCTCAACTACCTCCTAACCTATAACCTTAATGCTCGACCTCCGAAACTTCCTATCAAGAGCCATGTCCTCGGAGATCTGGAGCCTCGATATATCCCGCCTGATCACCTCTCCTCAATACTTCTTAGGTCGCCCTCTACCTTTCCTCGTACCCACCAACGCCAACGCCAACCGCTCGCACCTCCTTACTGGTGCATCTGGCTTTTCCTCTGTACATGCCCTAACCATCCGATCCTCGCTTCCCGCATCTTGTCATCCATGGGAGCCACGCCCACCTTCTCCCAAATATCTTCATTCCTAATATTATCCATCCTAGTGTACCGCCACATCCACCTCAACATCCTCATTTTGCTACTTTCATCTTCTGGATATGTAAGTTTTTAATTGGCTAACACTTAGCCCCATACAACATGGTCGGTTTAACCACCGCTCTATAAAACTTACCTTTAAGTAGCGGTGGCACTTTCTTGCCACACAAGACTCCAGATGCTAACCTCCATTTCATCCACCCCACCCTTATACGGTGTGTGACATCCTCGTCGATCTCCCCATACCCCTGGATAACCGACCCAAAGTACTTGAAACTGCCTCTCTTGGGAATGACCTGCGATCCAAGCCTCGCGTCCATGCCCGCTTCCCTCGGCTTGGCACTGAACTTGCACTCAAGGTATTCCATCTTAGTCCTGCCCAACTTAAACCCTTAGACTCAAAGGCCTGTCTCCAAACTTCCAGCCTCTCGTTAACACCACCTCGCATCTCATCTATCAGAACTATGTCATCAACGAATAACATACACCATGGCACCTCCCCTTGAATATGGTGTATCAGTCTGTCCATAACCAGGGCAAATAAGAATGGGCTGAGCGCAGACCTTGGTGTAACCCCATAACAACCGGAAAATGCTTAGTGTTGCCTCCCACTGTCCTAACCCGAGTTTTAGCTTTATTATACGTGTGCTTAATCGCCCTAAAGTAAGCATTCGGCACACTTTTAGCCTCTAGGCATCTACAAAGGGCCTCTCTAGGAACTTTGTCATACGCTTTCTCAAGATCAATAAACATCACGTGCACATCCTTCTTCCTCTCCCTGTATTGTTCCACCAACCTCCTAATAAGGTGGATAGCTTTTGTAGTAGAACGACCTGGCATGAACCCAAACTGGTTGTTAGATATAGATACTGTCCTCCTCACCTCGCTTCTACCACCCTCTACCGAACTTTCATGGTATGACTCAGTAATTTGATACACCTATAGTTGTTGCAACTCTGGATATCATTTTTGTTCTTGTACAATGGAACCACAGTACTCCATCTTCATACATCTGGCATCCTCTTCGTCTTGAAAATAACATTAAACAACCTAGTCAGCCACTCAAAACCTGCTCTACCCACACACCTCCAAAATTCTACCGGAATCTCGTTAGGTCCGGTAGCTCTGCCCCCTGCTCATATTACGCATAGCCCCCACGACCTCCTCAACCTTGAAGTGCCTACAGTACTCAAAGTCATGGTGACTCTCAGAATTCCCAACTCGCCTAACGCAATATCCCAATCCCCTTCTTCATTTAGAAGTTTATAAAAGTAAGTCTGTCGTCTCAACTTAATCTACGCCTAGCACAATATCCCAATCCCATTCTTCATTCACAAGTTTATAAAAGTAAGTCTGCCATCTCAGCTTAATTAGGGCCTCTCCCATCAATACTCTACCATCCTCGTCTTTGATGTACCTCACTTGGTCCAGATCCCGAGCCTTCCTCTCTCTCGCTTTGGCCAGCTGGAATAATTTCTTCTCCCCGTCTTTGGTCCCTAGTTCCTTGAACAGACGACCAAAAGTTGTAATCTTAGCCTTTGTGATCACCAGCTTCTCCTCCTTCCTAGCTACCTTATACCTCTCTCTGTTCGCGCCCATCTCTTCCATCGCATGTGTTCCATACTAACTTCAGGTACGCCGCCTTCTTTGCTTCCACTTTACCTTGGACTACTTCATTCCACCACCAGTCACCTTTATGCCCGCCGGAGTATCCTTTCGAGACTCCCAACACCTCTCTCGCTGCCTCTCTTATATAATCCGCTGTCGTTGACCATATATCGCTCGCGTCCCAACTACTCCTCCGGGCTCCCACATCCGCTAACCCTCCTTCCAACTCTTGAGCTTTATCCTTAGTCAAGGCTCACCACCTGATCCTCGGTCGTCCTCGTGCAATCCTTTTCTTCCTCTTCATCATGATACCGGCGTCCATCACCAAGAGCCTATGCTTCGTAGCGAGGGTCTCACCCGGGATAACCTTGCAACCCTTGTACCGCCCTCAGTCGCACCTCCTAAGGAGAAGATAGTCAATCTGAATCTTCACCACCATACTCCGAAAGTAACCAAATGCTCCCCCATCTTTGGAACAATAGAGTTCACAATCACCATCTCAAATGACTTAGCGAAATCCAACAGCGAAGTACCTCCTGCATTCCTATCCCCAAAATCAAAGCCGCCATGCACCTCGCTGTAGTCGCCTGCAGTCGACCCAATATGTCAATGTAAATCCCCTACTATAAAAACCTCTCACCAGGCGGAACATTACACACAATCTCATCCAACCCCTCCTAGAAGCGCCTCTTAACCTCCTCATCCAAACCCGCTTGCAGCGCATAAGCGCTAACGACATTTAGGGTGCACTCTCACACCACCAACTTAATAGATATTAACCTATCATTCACACGCCTAGACTTTACCACAGACTCTCTAATTTTCCTATCTAACAAAATACCCACACCATTCTTACCCTTCAGGACTCTAGAGTACCATATCTTATACTGGCCTTCGATCCTACCCACCTAGTCTCCTAGACACACGCTATATTGACATTCCTCTTCTGTAGGATCTTCACGAGCTCTATAGACTTACCCATCAAAGTACCTATGTTACATGACTCAATTCTCAACCTATAAGCTCTCTTGTGCCCCTTACCTCCCTTGCCTCCCTTCCCATCCCCTGACCCATGCCCTACCCCTGCCTCACTCCCTGGCCTCCCCAAGGACATGACCTTACTCTACCATCCCAGACTACAACCACTATACCCACAACAGACTAAGGATAATCACTAACACACAATAGGCAAACGGACGAGACTAGGAGAAAACAAGTTGTACTACAGGCACGCTAATTGTATGAATTAAACTAATGCGAACTAAAAAGGCAACAATTTAACTAACACTAGGAAAAGAAAATAGGAAAGCAGGAGATACGAACTCCCGGCAATAGAACCTGGAAATTGTTTTGCTGTACACGATATTGTTTCGGCACCTGGCGTATTCATGTCTAACTTTCCACTGTAACGACCTGATCGGTCGTTTTGAGCTTTTGCGCTTTGATCGCCAGTTCTTGGGCGTGACT